CTGGAACATTATTCTTGCGCATTTTCGAACTTGCCATTGCCCCACGTGCCTCTGAATATTGTTATCCTTGGGTAAAACTATTAAATAAAAGCTTCAATTCTGCATGTCTGAGGGTCCTTCTTTTCTTAATATTAATCATGTAAAAACTTTTATTTGATGTAATATACATATCTACACAAAAAAGATGGAGTGAAAAGAGGAGGGGCTTAAGTCCTCTTGCAGGCTGTTTGGGCATCTGGAGGCAATAATTTAAATGTAATGTAAATAATTTATAGTAATTTAATCTGAAATTCTAGGACATTTACTTAGAGTTGATTGGTGATAATAGTTTACATTTTCTATGCTCCTAATATTCTTTCGATGTCTTGGAATTTGACCTGTACCATAAGCAAATTAAGGCATTTAAGAAAAAACATGAATTTGTTTTTTTCTATCATTTCTATGGCTACATTTAGATGGCCCAACTTCGTGGAAATATGGATGAGCTCTCTGGCATCTGTTGAGCTTAGGCACTTATGACTATTCTCCACATAAATGGTGGACCGTGGAGGATAACTGATTCTCTGGCCCCAATGCCCCAGTATGTATATTTGCTGCTGTCAGGTCCTTTGAGGATGGGCTGAATCCATAAAACAGCTTTCATTTTGATACTATGAGTAGATAATCATTCATGTGACTGTTCAGTGCAACACCTTTACACCATATAGGGAAAGGGGCTATGAGTCTTTTTTAATGTCTTTAAGATCCAGGAGCTTAGTTCCTCTTCCCGCAGATGGAGCAAGGAAGAATATGAATCCCTGAATGATGAGTTTTGTGAATGCATCATTAAAAATTATCTTGTTTGCAGAGTCCTGGGTTGCCTTATAAAATAGTACAACAGCATGGCATCAGTTATCTATTAATGCAGTTTCCTCTTTCTAACAATATCCTGTGGAAATTATACTGGTAAATTCCTTAAATTTTGCAATGAGAAATTATTATTTTATGAGTGCTTACATACAAGCAAAGAGTATTGTGGCTTGCTCCACTGGCAGAATCACCACTGTAATGATACCTTAGTCCACAAGTTATATAATTGCTGAGCAATCTTCTCTGTACAATATGCTCCTAATTATCTAGGTTCAATAGAGAATACATGCTGACTCCTAAGGACTTGTTGAAGCAAATATCTAGACTATGACTAATTAGAGGGCTCTGTAATACTCTCAATATTAGAATATCATATTAGACTCAACTCTACAGGGTATAAATTTGTCATGTGGTTCTTCTGCTAAGTGACATTTGCAGATAGAGGCATGTATTATAATGCTTATTAAGGAAAGCATTTGGAGTCAGCTCAATTTTGTTTCAAATCTTGTCTGCCACAGATCAGCTAAATGACCTTGGGCAAGTTAATTAACCCCTCTGGGCCTCAGTAAAATGGGGAATAATAATACTACTCAATTAACAGAAACTGTTATGGAGATCACATAAATTCATCAATTCATATATATAAAGAGCCTAATACAGTGCCCAGCATGTTGTATATACTCAATAAAAGGCTATTATTTTTATTGCTTTACTATCAGATTTATTGGCTCAAAATCTTTCATCTTTCTGCACATCTTGACAATTTGACAGTGATGTTTCTTTATTGTAATAAAACAGATAATGGCTATCATACACTTCTTTGAGAGGGCAGAGGCAACTAATTTCCATCCAGTGTTCTACTGCTTTCTCTTTCCAAGTATGTAAAAGCAGTTTCTGCTTGACAGTGAACACTGACATAATGAGTTCTATGGTGACTGGACTGGTGTTTTCCACTACTAAACGTTGTTTTGACAATATCAACTGCAGGGCTAATTGTGCTCTACCCCTTTAACTGGAGGAGAAAATATTTGATCAAGACTACCTTGGATCTTGAAGGGTAGTTAAGTTTGCTAGATGAGATGCTGTTCTAAATGCTCTGTCTGGTAAAAATATTCCGTCACATTTGGCTTAATCCTGATTCCTCCATAAAGCCCCAGTTAACTTTTGGGCTGCCTTAAGTGTTTTTCTGCAATAATCTCACACTACCCCAGAACTTAGATCAGAACGTCTGCCAGACCGAACAATACAGTTCCCTTTTGCCTCAGCTGCGGCTCTCAGCTTTTTGAGATGACTGTTTCAGTCTTTCCCTGTCTGGCTGTAATCATTTTGGATGCTGTCTCACACTGGTCCTTGACATTTCCCTGAAACTAATTTCCATCAACAATAATGAAGAGAACGGAACAAATGTATTAATTAACTTCAGTACAGAAAGTCCTCAGTACCTCTAAGACATTCAGACGTTCTTGGATACTTTTTTGAGCAGCAAAACATTCAAACATCCATGAGCAGTAAGGAAAATAATATAGTGTATTTCTGAGAATATTCCTAATCAATGACTTATTTATTTGAAGAGAGTATGTATCATATTAAAGTTTAAACTTTTGCATGAGTAGACTCCTTACAAGTCTACCTCAGACTCAGGCAGTATTTGTTGAATTTAAACATCTGTTTAACTTGGCTCCTCTTACTTCCAGCTGTAAATCAGCCATTTCATGAAAAACCAATTTGTTTCTCTACATTTTCATTTTCTTAGTGTTTAATATTTTTGGGTAGGTTCAGGCACTAGGTTTTACTCTAAATTTTATGCAACACTTTCAGAATAGGGCACTAGGGCTAAAAAAAAAAAAAAACACACAACTGAATTTCCAACAGATTAATCCCTTTCCTTGTGAGTGGACTAAATTCTTACATAAATTGTCAGTCAGTGTCTTTAGATCCTCTGAACAGTTAACCAAAGTGTACCCATATGTTTGGCATGCCACCAAAACTGGTCAATAAATGAAAGGCAGTATGGAGATTCTTCTGTAGATTTGGAACTCCTAGTTGCTCCCACCTATTTTATAATAATAGAGATTTACTTTTCAGATTATGAATGATTTTAGAGTGTAATCAGCCAAAGAAAAGTGCTTTTGAGGAGAAATCTTTCAATGGAAACATTATACAATTCAAGTGCTTTATCTGTTACATTTAACCAAAAGAGCAAATTATAAGATCATAGACATAGTTCAGTCTCACTAGAGTCATCAGAATCTTACAAATGAGAAATTAAATGAATAGCTATAAAGTGTTCATATTCATCATAGTGGAAGAATTGCAGGCAATGATTTGAAAGTCTCAGATCTAGTCTCTTTCAGTTGCAAGGAGCAGAAATGCAACAGTATTCTGACATTTTGACTATTTAACAATCTATTCATCCTTAATTTAAAAATATTTTTTACCCTGTACCTTCCAAAAATATAGTGAAAAGATTTATATGCTGGTGAGAAAGAACAGAAAAATATGTCTTGAATTTCAACTATCTTAAGTATCATAAGGTTATTAACTTTTCATTGAAAGAATTTATGAAAGAGATGTAAAATGAAAGACAAAAATAGGAGTCAAGATAAATAAGACATAATGATTTGAGGTTTTAAAAAATGCTATCATGTTTCTGATAATTTTGAACTTTTATGCTTAAGATATATTAAAATTTATTAAAATTAAGCAGTTGGTCTAAGCCATGAATATTTTAATTGTAATAAATCAATGGTATCCTCAACATCATTTCAAAATGGAAATATAGTAGTTACTTAGGAACAGATGTTTCCAACTGGCATTCCCCTAATTATAAGATTGCCTCATATACATTCCTTTTATATGAGTAGCTGCTCCAGCCTGTTGACCAAAGGAGCTCTCATCCATGGTCACTGGAGATTTTCCTCTGGTCTCTTCCTTCCTAATGTATATAATCGTGCGAACAATTCTTTCTTTTGGACCATCCTCTTCTCCTGACCTTCTCCAAAAAGGAAAGGAAGAAGGGTAGGAAGAGTGTAAGAAACAAGATCACTGGGAACAAGAGGAGGAAAATGTGGTGTTAAAGGCTCTGTTTCAGGCTACAGAAAGCTCCAGAGTAACAGCATCTTGGTTTTTCAGAAGTAGGTCTCATAATCAGAAATTAATCTGTAGGTTTTTATAATTGTGATGAGTTGAGAGGGTGTGGACTAGCTTGTGACTCAAAGGTAAGTACAGAGCATGTGGAGGTTTTATTCATATTTAATTTTTGTCTTTCTTCATCATCCTAAAGTTTTATGGGGTCACTTAATGCAATTTGATGAGGTCAAAAGTAGATAGCTTCAATTATCATTGAATAATTACTAATTGATTCAAAGCTGAGAGTATTAAACACTGATGGTAGCAGGGCAGGTTCTATAGCTCCAGGTAAACATTTAAAAAATAAAAAAATCAGATGGTTCACATCAGCGTCAGGCAGGTCACATGTGAGCAAGGGCAACATCTTGAATGTCCAGGAAATGGCTGAGGTTACAGTTGGCGTGCCTTAATTCCACAGTTTGACAAGCAGGGGTAAGTATGAGAGGAGGACCTAATTCTTCTGCTAATGTTAACTGATTTTCTAATAGAAAATTTGTTTTCTGTGGCTTCTCAATTCTACGGTTCTATTAGCAAAATTCTTTATATGCTTGATGAATTGAAGAGATGGCAGTCAGCTTGCCTTTGCATTGAATTACTACATAGTCATTAGTATTCTGTCAATATCATTCTGCTATTGTGAGAAAACAGTTTCCTAAATAAGTGACTTACAAGTTAACCTTTGGAAACAACTTGTAAGAAACTGCCTATATACCTTTCATTACAAATATAGACAACTGTGAAGCCAAAAATAAAAACAAAACACAAAGCCTTCCTACAAAAATACAAAAAAAAAACTCTGCCTTTCAAGTAGAATGTTTAGAGACTTTTCCCTTTATTCTTAGTATGTGTCAAGTGCTGCAGTAAATTCTTTTATCCCTGTGCTGAAAAAGTTTCTAATTGGCTTCAGAGTTAGCTAGCTCATGAAAACACAGCAAAAACCCTTGAACTTTTTTCTAACCTTTGTTACTGTAGTAGATAGTATTTTTCTAATTAAAATTGTCAACAAGATATTCATTTCTTACCTTGTCAGAAGGTTTAAATGGATTTCCTTGTCCACTAATTCCACCACTGATACTAAATCCAAGGCCAGGATTCTTTTCTATTCTCACACAAAACTGTGTAAAAAAGATATAAAAAGGTAAGTAAATAGCTATCAAAACTAAATATTTTCAAATAACTGTATTTCAGTAGAAAATATTCACATTTCATGTGATTTCTTAGGGTTAGCCTATGTTGACTTGATACACAAAAGGCAATATAAACTTTGACAAAAGGTTTAATGCTTCTATATGCATCAGTTATGATGGAAACTAGCTTGAAATTACCTGGGCAAGAATATATTGGCAAGTACTTATTTGTTACCATGTACAGGACTAACTTTTGATTAGCCATTTTTAAAAATTAAAAGTCTTATAAACACTTAAAATACTATGCATTATCTTAGCTATAGACCATAAATGCACATGTATTCAGGTTGATTAGAAAGACTGTCTGAATAAGTGAAACAAAATTTTAAAATGTAGAGTGAGAGAAAATACGGCTATTTAAATAAATTGTGCCTGCTTTGTAGTGGAGTAGAATAATTCATCTCCTTGTTAGATAATTCTTTGTTTAGGAATATTAGATCTTTTAGTCTGAGAAAGTAGCTACAGCTTGTGTGAGGGTGAAGAAAAGGAAAAATGAAATGCTCAGTGTAGAGCTTCAAGTCTAGCAGCAGCTCCTGGAGTAGGAGTTAGGGACCTTAGAAGAAAGAGGAGAACAGTGTGATGAGGTCTAGTTAAAGAAAGAGGTCAACAATATGGAGACATTGCTAGGGAAAGAGAATGGCCAACACACAACACAAGGGCAAACGTTCTAATGTTCTGTGTTATATTCCCTCCCCAACATCACAAATCATCAATAAAAGTCTATTAAACATGAAAGTCTTTTGCTTTATAGTAGTATGGGGGAATGACGGCATTAGGAGTAGGGTCTGCCTTGGGATAAGGCTGTAGTAAAAATGATAGCAATAATAGAAGTTAATAAAAAGAGTGTAGATTAAGAACTCAGCAGAAATGACATCAGTGCCAGGGATGACCTAGAGAAACTCTAACAAACCTAAGAATTCCTGGAGACCCTGAGCAGGAGATGTGTGTGTGGGCTATGGTAAAAATGCTGGTTCTCCAGGTAAAGTGGGACAGAGTGATCCCAGATAATTGAAAGATTTTGGACCAAGAGGCAGTATACATTGGTTACATAAAGAAAAAACACTTTGTAACTTTATTATGTATTATTTATTTATTTATTTTAGTGACAAGGTCTTACTCTGTCACCCAGGCTGTAGTGCAGTGTTGCAATCAGTTCACTGCAGCCTTGAACTCCTGGGCTCAAAGGATCCTCCTGCCTCAGCCTCCCAGCTAGCTGAGACTTACAGGTGTATGCCACCATGCCTGAATAATTTTAGTTTGTTTCTTTTTCTAGAAATAGAGTCTTGCTGTGTTGCCCCGGCTAGTCTCGAACTCCTGTCCTCAAGTGATTCTCCCACCTTGGCCTCCCAAAGCACTGGGATCACAGGTGTGAGCCACTGTGCCCAGCTCTTTTACAACTTTTAAGTACAGAGTAAGTATTAGGTGAACCAAGTGTTACCAAAGGTTAGCAGGCAAAAGATTAATAAAGAGTTAAGAAAAAAAATAAGATGACATACTTTGGCATATATTTTGTATTTACGTAACTACATACTGGAAAAGTTCTTAAACATGATTGTAAACATTTGCTTCTTTTTTTTTTTTTTTTTTTAAACAGTTTCACTCTTGTGGCCCAGGCTGGAGTACAGTGGCCGGATCTCAGCTCACTGCAAGCTCCGCCTCCCGGGTTCCCGCCATTCTCCTGCCTCAGCCTCCCGAGTAGCTGGGACTACAGGCGCCCGCCACCGCGCCCGGCTAATTTTTTGTGTTTTTAGTAGAGACGGGGTTTCACTGTGTTAGCCAGGATGGTCTCGATCTCCTGACCTCGTGATCCGCCCGTCTCGGCCTCCCAAAGTGCTGGGATTACAGGCTTGAGCCACCGCGCCCGGCCAACATTTGCTTCTTAAGTAGCACATTTTTACCCCCAGCATTCTTGCTTAGCCTATTAATTTGCTTATGGCAAATGTAAATGCCCAAAATACTCTTTACATTTTGATTGTGAATCTATCTTCAATCCCTACTTCTTAGTTCAAGGCAAATTGAGTCCTATTTCTGACTTAATTAGCACATACTGTCACTGGAACCTGGATCAATTAGGTTTGTCTGTTTAATAATCCTATACTTAATTCATTGTCATATTTCATAATAGTAAATATAATGTTTAACTATTAGATAGTTCACTTGCAATACAAGATGAAAAACCTGGATGAAAACCTATGCACTAATGTGATCTTTATGTAGTCATTAATGAATAGTTTCTAAATTATGAGTAAAACTCTAAGTACTGTCCCTTATTTTAAAGATGTTTAATTATAACTTTTCCTTCAATTCAGCTAGATTTGTTAAAACTAGTTATCATAGGTACTAGAATTTACAGTTTATAATACTTTGTATTTTTATATTGATCATAGTTTATGAATAGTTTATGAATATAAACTTACAATAGCCTGATGTAGCTGAAAGAAATATTTTAGCTTTATTCAGTATGCTAGTTGATCTCTTTGTTATTATTTATTAATTAGAAAATGAGAAGAAAGCAACCAATATGATGAAATCATTTTTCTTTTGTGTTTTTCCATGTTTTTATGCATTTCCAATTACATTATTTAAAATTGAGGTTGTATGTTTCTAGTGTGAATATTTCATATTGCCACAACATAATATGTAGAAGGTATATGCACTTCTGGCTTTCTCCAGGCCACTATAAAACTCAAAGGAAACAAATATAACAGGTTTAATTTACAAAGTAAATTGCTGAGAGTAGTTTCCAGTTGTTCTCTTTCAAGGTAGTGACTATATCTATTTTATATTATTGTAAATCTTGAAGGCACTAAAAATCTAAGAGAGACAAATTTCACATGTGCCAAGTATATGAAGAACTGCCTTAATATATTTTTTAATAATAGAAATAATAAAGATGACAGTGGAGTTTTATAAATGTGACAAACATAAATTCTGATCTGAAGCTAGACTGCTCTTGGGCATGCTAAGATATGGCTAATACGTTGTATTGTGACTAGTGGGTCTCATAAAGCATGTCAGAGAGAGTATTCCTCTCACATATAAGTAGTTGCACCTGCCTGCTAAGGCCCAAAGAAGCCATAAAATGTAAGAGGGCAGAATACCTTACATCCAAGAAACAGTCTGAAACTAAAGAGGATCAGCAAAGAGGAAATGCAGTGTTCTAGTAAAAGATTAGGTCTAGGAAGCTAACAAATAGTTTATTTAATGAGAACCAGTATTTTAATTTTCTTTTTATTTATTTTTTTATTTTTTTGAGATAGGGTCTTGCTGTTTCTCAGGTTGGAGTGCAGTGGCATAATTTTGGCTCACTGCAGCCTCTGCCTCCCACGTTCAAGTGATCCTCACATCTCAGTCTTTGGAGCAGCTGGGACTACAGTCACGTGTCACCATGCTTGGCTAATTTTAAAATTTTCTTTGTAGAGATGAGGTCTTGAACTCCTGTGCTCAAGTAATTCTCCCACCTCAGCCTTCCAAAGCGCTTGGATTATAGTCGTGAGCCACCATGCCAGCCTCAGTTTTCTTTTAAGAGACTGGTTTTAAAGAATGAATGTTTTGGCTGAAAACACATCCAGTAGTAGTGCAATCAATGGTATTTCAGAGTCTGCTTCCGTAATTCTACTTTACTTGATACTTCCAGTCTGTGTTAATCTTACTCTAATTACGATACTGGGTCTTATTTTGGAAGGGCTTTTTTGATAAAATGGATTGTTACAAAACTTAGCTTGGCATGGTGGTGCACACCTGTAGTCCTAGATACTCAGGAGGCTGAGGCAGGAGGATCACTTGAGACCAGGAGTTTGATGCTGCAGTGAGCTATGATTGTGCCACCGCATTCCAGCCTGGGTGAGCCCTCTCACTAAAATAAATAAGTAAGTAAGTAAGTAAATAAATAAATAAATAAATAAAGAATAAAGGCTAAAATTCTCCCTGCCTTTCTCAATAAAAAGGATATGATGACTCCTTGTTAAAATACATGATGAGTTTTAGAAAGAAAGAGTGTCAGTTATTCAAAGAGTGCCTCAATTGTCAATGACTTTGAAATAAACTACTCTGGAAAACTGTCATAGCTTTTACAATAAAAACTGTTGCAGAAATAATGATGTATGACTTCCACATAATATTTATTCCACATAATATTTATAAATATTCCACAAGTATTTATTGATTCCCTACTAAGTACCAGGCAGATAAAAACATCCTTGACCTCAAAGAACTTACATTCTAATGAGGAAGATAGGTAGCAAACATAAACAACAAATAAGTAATTTCAGATAGTGGGATGAGCTGTGGAAAACAGCAGGAAAGGTAGTAGAGAGTAAGTGAAATGGAGTCAGGAGTTGTTCTACTTATTTATTTATTTTAAGCTTATTCTTGCCTCAGGAAAGAGCTATTTTCGATACAGTAGGTAAAAAAGCCCTCTCTGAGTATGTCACATTTGAGCAGAAATGTGAATGATGTCAAAGATCAAACAATGAACAATAAGAAAAATGAAACACTATCCCAAGCAAAGGGGATAGCAATTGTAAATGCCCTGAAGATGGATTGGTCTTTACAAAGTCAAGAAACAACAAGATGACATAAGGATGAACATATAGATCAATTTAATAGAATAGAGAGTCCAGAAATAAATCCTAACATTTATAGTCAGATGATTTTGACAAAGGGTTCAAGGTAATTCACTGGGAGAAAGAAGAGTCTTTCAACAAATGGTGCTGGGACAAGATACCCATGTGCAGAAGAATAAATCTGTACTCATATCTCACACCATACACAAAAGTTATGTAAAGTAGACCAGAGGCTGAAACATAAGACCTAGATTATAAAACTCTTTGATGAAATACAAAAGGAGTAAAGTTCATCACCTTAGATTAGGCAATGATTCTTCAATATGAAACCAAAGACAATATAAGAGACTGATATGTTGGACT